ACTTTTCTTTTTGATTTGTTTTTTAAAAATTATACTTTCTTATCTGAAAACTTCTGTAATGACATACTCTTATAACCATAATATATTTTAATATGTTTAAGAATAGAAATTTTAAGAGTAATTTTTAAATGTGTCCCAGAAAAGTAAATACAATTCCGCATCTCCCCCTCTCATATTTTTCGTAATAGGCTCACCTCTCCTATTCGGCAACCTTTTCTCAAATTTATATATACCCCACTTTCCTTATACCTTTAACCTTCACGCATTCTTCCACATTCTCTCTCTCACCATACAAGAGAAGGAAAAAAGAAGAAAAAAGAAAGAATCCCATTTCTTCTATTCAAGAAGCTGTGCATTCATAGTACTTGAGGAGAAAGAAAGAGGGAGTTGGTTCAAGAGGACGTAACAAGGAAGGAACGAGTTAGGAAGCTACCTAATATTTTTCTAGTACAATTTTGAACCGCCTTTTGTTACTTTCCGCAAAGCAAAACAAAGGACAGTAGCATTTTAGCAGCTTTTGGAAGTCCCTTTTTTCTTACTCTTTTTGAAAAAAGGATCTCTATTATTAATGAATATTGCATTACCAGAAATGTTACACAGTATCACTGGCAATGGAGGAAATGGAAGCTCAGAAATGAGCGTGCTTGAACGACAACGAGCGAGAATGAAATGGCAGCAAGAACAGCTGCAGCAACAAGAAATGATGAGTTATTTTGATGGACAAAATGATCAACAACTGATGAATTTTTATTCTCAAACAGCTGGAGCTCAACAGTTTCATGGTCAGATCAACAATGTAAACGACGAGAGTCTTAATGAGCTTGTGACTCGGGCAATTAAACCGGACCCCTGTTTAGAGAACAATTGGACCATTGGTACTGATGGTTTAGGCTATGTTCCCACTGGGGTTGGATATGGAGGAACTACACCACAATTGGGATTGAATTATGCCATTTCCAGAACCACAAGTTGCCCACCTAACATGGCGGATAACGCTGTGTCTGATGGTAAAGCCAAAGAGAGTATGATGAGTTCTAATAGAGGAAGAGAGAGCTTCAAGAAGAGGAAAGCAGATAAGAATCAACATCTCAAGGTATGTTCAACTCCAACTGAAATTGTTCCTCTGCCCTGTCTATGTTTAGTCCCTGCATTTCAATGAGGTTGAGACACAATATAATTAAGTAATTAAAAGTTTGCTCTTTCTAAGAGTTTAAACTTACGCACGATGGTCACATAATTCAATAGTTGCAACTGTCCTGTAATCTAACAATTGGTGGACATTTTTCAGGAGCTTGCTGAAGAGGAAACCAAAGACAAGAAAATGAAAGAATGCATAGAGGAAGGAGATTCCAAGGTAACAACAGAGAAATACAACAACAGAAGGAGCACCAATAACAGTAACAACAGTAAGGAATCTTCTGAATCTTCAAAGGAGAAGTCCAAAATTACTGAAGATAAAAAGCCTGACTATATTCATGTCAGAGCACGTCGGGGTCAAGCCACTGATAGCCACAGTTTAGCTGAACGAGTGAGTTATAGATTTGGTCCAAGTGTTTTTTACTACAGATTAATATTTTAATCCAGTGCACAACTTAACCAGCAACTTAATTCATATTTTTGGCAGGTAAGAAGGGAAAAGATTAGTGAGAGAATGAGATTTCTACAAGATTTAGTACCAGGATGTAACAAGATCACAGGGAAAGCAGGAATGCTTGATGAAATAATCAATTATGTCCAGTCTCTCCAAAGACAAGTAGAGGTAAAAAAAAATCAAGAAAAATAGTGCCTTCCATATTTGCTATTGTTGCTAGAAATATTATGATTTGAGATTCTATATTTGATAATTCAATATCATGACAGTTCCTATCCATGAAACTGGCTGCTGTTAATCCAAGGCTTGATATCGAGATAGACAATTTCTTCAACAAAGATGTAAGGGAACATATCAAGAAATTATTTCGTTCTTAGCGTAAAAACATGTTCTTATTTCACATTTTATTTCTTCAGATATTTGCAACTAGCACGGCTAATTTTCCTACGGTGGGAGCTGGAACATCATCTGAAATGCTTAGTATGGCTCAACGCCAGTTCAATTCATTGCAGCAAATAGTGTCAAGTTCTGGATTCGAAATGGGTATTCTAAATCTTAGCGAAATGGCTCTACGTAGAACCACTAGCGCACCTGTATCAATCCCTGAAATATTTCTTGACTCATCCAATATCAATGTAATTATTCGAACCTATCTTAGTCAATAAACTGTTAATTTCCCTTTTTCTTTCAATTTGTTTAACGAAAGTACCATTCAAAAATACAGCAAGTTCAGAGCTTTCCAACTTGGGACACTGACTTAGATAACATGTATGCAATGGATCTTCAACAAGGAAGATCAGCACAGTTTCTTCCCCATCCGTCTACAGGTATGCACAAGTGACATGTCTAGTCGATATTTCTATCATGTCTATGATAATTCAACAAAAAAAGATTAAAAATCATTTAAAGTGGGTGATACTTTCCATGTTAGAGACTCAGAACCTATCATATTGCTTTGAGAACAGTTGGGACCTCTTTGATTTATACTCCTGTTGAAAAAGGTTGCTGATTAGGTATCTTCCCTTTTTTTCCTGTCTTCCACTTTAAATGATCAAAACTATGTTACTTTTGCACGGCAAAAAATTCCCAAAGTAGTTGATTGACAGGCAAGATGTAACTATCCAACACAAATGAACAGTTATTATTCAACTACATTATTAAGACTTACGAGTTCTGGGAGGGCCGTCTTTCCTTTTTTCTTTTTTTGACAATAGTAGTCTCTTGGCTACGTCCACCTCAACTATTCCACCAAGTATTGCCTACTCCCCAACTTAGTGTTCTTTCCGCTACTGAAATTTGAACCTTGGTCTCTCATAGGAGGGCCCTATGCCCATATCTTTCTCAGCTACAATACTTATCTGAAAAGGGACCGCGGTATCACTTACCGCAACACTTATCTTTAGTTTAACACTAGAACAATAGAAATTAGGCTTCTGTACAAGTGTTGAAGCTAAAAACTATTGATTGTTGTGCAGGTTTTGTTGAAGCTGGAAATGACCTGAAGATGGGAATGTGACCTTACAGTTCTAAACATTCAAGATCATTGAATGACTTCACCTCAGATGTCATGGATCCTGATTCTTTTTTCCAAGTACATAACATAGTATATTATGTATGTAAATGTTGCAGTTCAAGAGTATCAAAGCAATACTATGACACTGTTCACTGGAAACCTTATCTTCTCTAGCAATTAATCAAACTGCAATTGGAGCCAACTATGCCCAAGATATCCAGTATAAATTAGCTAAAAACAAAGTAGAAATCTGGCTAATTCTATATACATAAATCTAATTTTCATCTATATATAAAGGTAAACAAAAGCAACTACTGAAGAGAAAAATAAAAGAAAAGGCATCTCAACAGGAGCAAAATTTGTTCCTTTTTTTTTTTCTCTCTTTTGATAACCGAGAAATCCCCGTGATAACCGAGAAATCCCCGAAAGCTAGTGGCAAGCGCAAAATTTAGTCCACCTCAATAATTCATATTTTATAAATTAAAATCTTTAGTAATTTATAAAGTATTAATTAAGACAATTTGTGAGTACAATATCTATATTACCCAATAATCAATAGGTATTTAAGAGAATTCCTTTAGATTATATACCTACCAGATTTAAGAAAATGCATGATTAAGTTCTCATCATAAGATACATATGTTCTAATATTCTAAGATTAAGTTCTCTTCATAAGCTACCTATATTTATCTAATTTACGGTAACTTGATTTAATGATGAATGAAGCATTCATATAGCCAACCCGACTTGTTCGAGATTGAGGCATGGTTCTTGTTGCAGTATGGTAACTTATGGTTGTAATCAATCAAGATATCATATTAATTTTCCATTTTACTGTCAGTTGTAAAGTACAAATTAAAATCCATAAAATTTAATGGAAATCCATCATAATAAAGTTGTTAGTAAATATGCTTAGAAGCTGGTTGATTCTAATATATTAGGAAACACAATATTTTGTAGTTAGAGTAGTAGAGAAAATTCTATCCCAAAGATTGATTATTAAGGGTCATACTCATCAAGTGGCACAAGCTGATACTCTGTTGACTATAACCTGAGTGGTAATATTGAGCAGCCCATGAGAATACTAAAAGGAAGCAAACAAATAAACCATAGTGGCTAGCTTAGTTGCCTTTTGGACAGAATAAGACATGTCGATTAAGACCTGGAAAATTAATAAAGGGAGAAGCCTTTTTCTTTTTCAAAATAATTGGTGATGTTGAGACATCTGAATTAGATATTAGGATTCATGCTTTCTCCATAGAGAAAAAAACAGATTAGCGCCTAATCATATGGCAGCTCATGTTTTTGTCACACAATTAGAATAAATTTTGTAGATAGAACAACATTACATTTCACATCAGTCTTTAAATATTGTTTTAATCATTTGAACAAAGAAAGGAAAAAAGAGGGATAAGTAGCTTACGTGATTTATAAGGGACTAAAAGTTTGTTATAATCATATATCCAAATTCCACTGAGGGCAACATAGAGTAAATAACATACTGGTGGCTTTGAATTGGAAAAGATGGATTTTTGTGGATTATCATTAAGACATCAACCAAACTCATATTAGTGACTACTTGTCATGTAATCTAACTCAGTACTCCTTCCCTCCAGTGAGGGAGTATCTTTTTCCTTGTATTCTTTATTCTTTTTTTTTATGATTTCATTTTTCCTTTTTTTTTTTGTTTTTTTTTTTTTTTTT